GCTTAGGAGGAGAGGGGCTGGGCTGGATTATAAATCACGGGTGCGTGATCTAGTGACAAAGCCTGACAGACAAGATGTCATAAGACTCCAGTTATTTTCCAGCCGTGGGGTAATCAGTGAGTAGCAAGTCATACTACTCTGCCTTTCACAACCTTTCAAAAAATGTGTCACTCAGCTTTTTAAACCAGTTCCCCAGCTTCCTTGGTCCCTCACACCCACTGGTCACACATGACCAGCAGTCACATGGAAGAGAGAAATAGTAAAGAGAAAAAGATAAAAGCCAGAATTAGTCTCATAAACTTAACAGTGAACTACAAATAAACATTAGCAACCACTGATTTCAAAGCATCAAGAATTGAGTGATAGAGAACCTTTAAAAAATCTAAGTTTCTAAAGAATGTTTTCAACCTTCTTATAGTCACAGCACAATTTCAAACACCAGAATTTTGAGGAAACAGTTGAGATGAAAACTTAACAAAATACATTGGCCATCAATGAGATACAACCACTATTGGATGACATATAACAACGTCTTGGGTTGTCCTCAAGGGTCTCCTAGATATATGTGATTCAGCATAAGCACACAGCCTCAGACATTCAACTCTGCTTGTTGACTGACAGTCCTGTCCTTCTAGCCCTCAGCAGGACATATAATCCCTCCCATGTCCATTTCTGTTTATTAAGGGTTGATGTGTCTTCTACCATCTTTCCTTTAATTAAATGTTATCTAATTTGCACCTTGTTCCTCAAATACCTCAGATGCAGTTCCATGGGAAAGACACTGCCTATTAGCAGAAAACCCAACTTATATGTGGATCCAAACCGGACAGTCCATGACAATCAATTCAGAAGCAAGACTGAATGCCTTATTTCCTATTTCAGACAGTTATACACCCCAGTTACCAAGCAGGCAACCTCTGGAGTAAGTAGAAGACCTGACCAAGGTAGGAAGGATTTTATTATAATAAAAATAGACTCAAACACAAAGCATTTTACAAACTAGATTGACGCAACACCATAAAGAGCTTTACATAATGTTAAAGTCTATTAAATATTCCTCAGAAGCCATTCACTTATTAATGAATCTGCTTGTTCCACTGTTATTTACTGAGCAGCTTCTGTATACTGGGTTCTCCTCTGAGCACTGTAAAAACAGTTTCTTCTCTGTGAACTCAGTTTCCAATGGGGGAACTCATAATAAACAAAACCAATTCAGAAATTAAACAAGTACATGTATAGTGACTTGGGAGGACTAGGGGGAAAACAAGGTAGCGCAGGGGAACGGAGAGTGGGGAGCTGGGAGCTACTGCAGTATGGTCTCAACATGACTCACTAGGCAGATACCTAAGAAGAAACTTCATGAGGTGGGAAACCTTAGACTGCAGATTCCAAGAGAAGTAAGAGGTTCAAAGGGCCTGGGACAGACAAGAGCATCTCTGTATCCACAGTGGGCAGAAAGTGAGGGGGGGATGTCTGAGAGGTGAATGATAGGACATGAAGTCAGAGGGGAACATGGAAAAGTGAGGAGGCATAGCAAATTAGACAGGACCCTGTAAAGACTCAGCCTTTACTACCGAGTGAAACAAGATATTAATGGAGTATGTTCAACAGATAACTGATATAGATGGTCCCTCCCAATTGTTTGGCAAAGCCCATATGCTTTCAGTAGAAAGCGTAGCCCAAATTTTGAATTTTGTCTCTTGCCAGTTGTAGGCTTCTGTCTTGGAATGCAGAACAAGAGGAGGCAGCTGCAGAGTCTGGTCAGGCAGGTGATCAAGAGGATAAACAACCATTATTCTGCCCAACAGGGCCAATGACCACCACCCCAGAGCACAGGGTTAACAATGTAGGTATAAAAGATGCATTTTTGACTTGGGCCAGTTTCACATGATGATGAGGGACTGACTTATCAGGATGTAGTCCATCATAAATCAGACAGCATGAATGAGCATGAATATTTGATTTTTTTTTGTTTTAGTCATAGCTCTGGAGGATAAAAGATCTGGGCAAGCAGAAAAAGGGAAAGATAATGGTAGTATTTGTGTGGAAGGAGTTAGGAGTAACACAATTCTAGGTCTGTCCTGAAGGCAAGATTGAGAATAATTTGCTAATGACTAGATATTAGATGGCAAAGACAGAAAGCAAAGATCGCTAGAAGGCTGTTGGCCTTGGAATTGGAAAAATGACATTGCTATGGATTGGGACAAAGAATAACACCAGAGTAGATTTAGAATAGAAGTGAAGGTATTCGATAGAAAAAAAATTGCATCCTGTGCTGTCAGGAGTCACTAACCATGAAAAGTCCTGTGATGCTTGCCATAAGCCAACACAAAGTTCTCCCAACTAAAATGTCCACAGCTCTGCCATGCAAGGAATTGCCAGCCTACATCAGGAAGCTGTGTGGGCATCAGCATGTGGTGGGCGGCAGCACAGATGTGTGATGAGATATATTGGTGCTCACACCTGTTCAGACTTCTTGCTGATTGGTTTGGGCCTATTACCTTCAGTGCCTGAGTTTCTTCAGCTGTATACTACAGAAAGCCAGTTAATATATTCGACAAGGGTGGTTCTAAGAATTATAAAACACTCAAGTACATGGCCTAGAGTTTGATTCAGGGAGAATGCCAAATAAATGCAGTAACCCTAAGCAGAAAAAAGGAAAGGATAAAGACTACAACGATGGTAATTCATTCAGAAAGCGAGTCTATAACATTGTCCAACTAAAAAGATTATAATGCAAAGTGTAAGCACATGCCGTCTTGTTTCATTTTTCCTTAGCCACGTTTAAAAGGGAAAGAGATAAACGTAATCTTATTTGTTCTTAGGTAATAACCAACTATATTAAAAATGCTACTTTAATATGAAATCATTATTAAGTTTTTTTTTTAATTTTTATTAGTCCTGGGGATTGAACTCTGGACCTGGGCACTGTACCTGAGCTCTTCAGCTCAAGGCTAGTGCTCTACTACTTGAGCAACAGAGCCACTTCCAGTTTTCTGGTGGTTAATTGGAGGTAAGTCTCACGGATTTTCCTGCCTGGGCTGGCTTTGAACTATGATCCTCCGATCTCAGCCTCCTGAGAAGCTAGGATTATAAGCGTGAGCCACCAGTGCCTGACTTAGTAAGATTATTAATGAGATATTTTACTTTCTGAAACCCTCTAAATATTCCTCATTTAATTTGGCCTCGTTTCAAGTGTTTAGTAAGTTTATGTGGCTTGTGGCTATATAGTTAACAGCATTAGGCCAAGATATTCCTGCAATCCTAACTTCCACTGCCACTTAATGTAATTTTTGTTGTTTTTGAGACAGAATCTCACTATGTTATTCAGGCTGGCCTCAAACTCACAATTTCCCTGCCTCAGTCTCCCAAGTTCTGGGATGACATCTTATGTCTCACCATCATAGGCTTATCAGGTAACATGCCAGCACATGGAGCATGGAGATTTTAGGAGTCTCAGTACATTTTGGGACTTTAGACCCAAGTCTACAAGCTGAGAAAAGGCAGTGCTGATTCAATACATTGAGTGGGTGTGAAGAGTGTCATAATCTAACTCTACTTCTGATGTCCTTGAACAAGGTAGCTAGTCACATACCTGTTCTCTTATTTACAGAACAGAGATAACAGTGCCAGCCCCTCTGTGTTATTCCAAGAATTGTGTATACAAAGCCTACAGCCTATTTCTCAAATGTGATTTGTGGATGTTTGTTTGTTGAGAAATGGAAGAGGTTCCTCAGAATTCTAGGTGTCCTTTATATAGTACAGTGTTTGTGTATGTGTGTGTGTGTGCATGTGTAGATACACACAGGAAGTATACTAGAGCCATCTCACTTTTATAATTTTTGGTAATGGCACATTATGTTCTTCTGAAGTTGGGAGTGTCTCCTTACAGAGGAGATGAATTGTCCATCATTCACATACACTTCAATCTATAGCAAATCAGGATGGATCCTGTGTTTACTAAACAAATCTTAGTTGCAGAATTCCTGAACAATAGTTATCAGCACATCACCTACAAGTATGGTTTAGTCAGTTATTTGTCTTTGGTTATACATTAGTTATAAAGATTATGTGGCATTTGTTTAATTACTGGTGCTGATCCTGGGGCTTGAACTTGGGGCCTGGACATTATCCCTGAGCTTTGTTGCTCAAGGCTAGCACTCTACCATTTGAGCCACAACTCCATTTTTGGCATTTTGGTGATTAAACTGCGATCCTTAGACCTTAACCTCCTAAATAATTCGGATTGCAGGCATGAGGCAGCTAACTTTTACTAAGAAGTGTCTTCCAAAATTCAAGATTCGTGACACAATGTTCAAATAGTATAGAGCAAAGTTAAATGACTAATACTGTGCTTAAAGAAATTTTGCATATAAATTAATCTTGGGCTAGACAGAAGTTGATTCAAGTGATAGAGCACTTGCTTAGCAAACAGAAGGCCTTAAGTTTAAACCCCAGTACTGCCAAAATATCACTAAAATATAATCCCAATATGGCACCCTCAGAGTAACTCAGGATTCAAGTCACTAAGGTATTGCTAATTAATAATAATGTATACAATATGTGCTAGGTGTGATGGCTCAATCTTGTAATACTAGCTACTTAGGAGGCAGATATAGAAGACAACAGTTTGAGGTCAATCTGGGCTTAAAAGTTCTTGAAATTTCAACCCACCAATGGCTGGGAACAGTGGTACACACATCATCCCAGCACAGTGGCTGGGTGTGGTGATACACACTTGTTATACTCGCTACAAGGGAAGCATAATGGCTGGGTGCAGTGGAATATTCCTCAGCAGCAAAGAAAAGCCCAAGTAGAAAAGATCACAACCCAGACCAGCTTGGGCATAAAGTGATACCTTACATTAAAAATAACCAATACAAAAAGGAACTAGATATGTGACTCAAGGAGTAGAGCACCTGCCTTGTAAAGTCAAGGCCTAGAGTTTAATCCCCAGTGTTGCCAAAAGAGCAAACCAACAAAAACCATGTGCACAAATGTATTAGCACAAACACATTTATTTGCTAACCAAAGGGATGAGGCCAGTTAAACCATCACTTTGAAATTTTTGCACTTAAAATGTTTGTGATATAGATTACTGAACATAGTAGTGAAAAAAAAAAGTAGTTGTATGGAGATTTGCTCATTGAACTGAGCTTTTTCATTCTTGCAGCTAATTCCTGTCCAAAATGATGATGGAATTTTTATTCTACTTTCTCATAGACCCGAGTACAGGTGACATGGTTCATGACACATTCCTAGGAGAAAAAAGATATGAAAGAATTAGGCTTGTCTTACATTCTCAGAACACTAGTTGTAATACAGTGTTTGGACCGAAATCCTATAAAACCTTGTGTTCTATGTCACAGATGGGAAAAATACATTTTAGAATTTTTTTTAAAAGATTTTTGAAAGAAGCCAGAACCTAGTGTTTTGTTTACCATATACAAAAGTTTATAGTAAACACTAAAGCTTTGGATATAAAAATCTCAATTTTTCATTTTCTCTTGGCAAATATTATTCTTCATTGTGAAGCAATGGAAAAATGTATGCCAAAACCCCAAAGGCAGCTTGATGATTCACTACAGTGATCCAACAGCTGAACTGGAATCCAACTCCAGCTACAACTTGGCATGTCTCTAGTCCCAGCAAACACTGTCTTCATTCACTGTGAGTATTCAAACATTCCCTTATTTAACTTGCTATTTTGCATTTTTTTTCTTCCTAAACTTAATTCTCCTGTACATGAGCAATGAGAGAGAACACTTCTGGAGATCACAAATGCAAGCAAGCTCAGATAGACAGTAGCAGCTTGACACTCACCACCACCAACTTCCCATCTCTCAGTTTTCTTGTTATTGTGCTTTCCTTCCCATCCCACGCCTGATGCTGAACCAATGCTCCATCGGCAAAGTTACAGACCGTCTGAAAAAATAAAGCATATTTTTTAATCCTCCAAAGAACATTATAAGAGGGTTTGGTCATTCATAACCTCTTTAATCAACATGCTTTCTCTTCTCCTTTCTGAATCACTTCAATCATTCTGATTCTACTTACAATAAAGTCTGTGGTCTTCAGTCCAGAAGTTCATAAAAGATTCTCATGCTATTACTCATCTATCAATTCAATTAATAAGCCACTTTCCCATTAAGTATCTGACTACCAACAGTAACAATCTATCACTCTAGATAGTATCTGCCATTCATAGTGTTTTATGCCTGACCTGAGTTTTCCTGCCATCAGCTGTAGTTTCTTCAAATGGTTCTCCCAGGACGCAAGAAAATTGTGTTGTTTTCAGAGTGCTCTCAGTTTTTATGTCGACCTTATTGCCGTCGCAAGTGATGACACAGTCTGGCTTGGCCATTGCACCCATTTTTCTCAGAGCTAGTCCCACTCCTGTAGATGTGATATTGAATAACAAGACCAATTATAATTCGCATACAATAAAATCATCAGTCCAGGTATAATTGTGACACCTGGCATACTTTCACTTACTGTATACGTCTAGGCCTCACAGCAACCTGGACAAGATGGATAGACGAGAAAGTGGGGTGCTGAGATAACAGCCCAAGCTCAGCTAGGAAGTGCTGGAACTGAAATGGCACCCACAACCTGTTCCCAATGTCCACTCTTGGCCATCAAGCGATGCTGGCTTTCAGAAAGTCAGGGAAGAATTTACTCTCTTATTTTATTTACCCAAAGAAGCTGACAGAGTCAAAGCACAGTGGTGTAGACAGGCCTTGGGAGCTAGAGATCCTGCCTCAAAAACATAGACCGGCATACATATGGAAAATAATATTATATACATTAACAGAAGATGAAGAGACTCAAAATTGCAAACTCAGGATCTACCTTAGTCTTACTCTATTTACTGGATTTTTCTAACCATTGTATTCTGATTCCAGTGCTGTCTGGCTCATAAAAGGCCCCTGATAAATAATTCAGACTGTATGCAAGTGAAAAGCAATCCAAAGACATTCAAATAGCCCAATAATTGAAGTTAGTAGCATAATCATGATGACAATAAGTGTGTGTGTGTGTATGTGTGTGTGTGTGTGTAACTTAGCCTGGAAAAAAATATTTGAAGTTGTACAACTCAATATACTATTTTTCAAAGGTTAATACTTTTCCCATTAGCCTTACGATTGTGCTAAATTAAAATGCTGTACATTTACAGATTTTTGTTTTATGTAGCCTAATAGTGACTACACTAATCCGGGGATAAAAGTTCACGTTTTTTAGTTACACATGAATTTATCATCTGTGTCCACACTCTTAAGGAGCCGCGGATCCAGGCTAAATCAACTTCTCAGGTGAGGAGAGTACAAGCCTGTCTCTTGGACAGGCTGTGTCCCCTTGCAGCCTTCTCTTTCTCCACCTTAGAGCTGGTGCTTGCTTTTAGTTGAGTCATTATTTATTCTCAGGACAAATAAATGGGCTCTGAGCTTCCTCCACCTTGATTGTTCCTAATGACTAGGGCTTTGACAACATTCATAACTCCTGCCCTATCCATGAGCCAAAAAAAACCCCCAAAACCCTGTTCTCCCCTTGGTCCTTACAACTGTACACATTACAACGTCCACGTCCTGGTGACAGCCTAACGTGGAGTAGGGGAGGATATGTGGTGAGTGAAATAAATGGTCTTTTCCAGAGTCATCAGTGGAAAAAACAATGCTGTGTTCCCCTTTTCTGACAGTATCACAAATGCACTTCTGATTCACCACAAGTCAGGCTTGGATAAAGGTCGGTTTAGGAGTGATTATGAAGTCCCAGGGAGGTGTCACTCACTACAGGGTCACTCTAGTGAAGTCACCAGAGAAAAATCAGGTTAACATTTTGGAACCTGCCTAGGAAGTAGCCTAAACTCCCCTCTAGAGAGAGGGGATCCACTTTAGTCTAACTGCTGCCACTGTGTAGTGTAGTGGCCACGACAAATGCCCATTCCTGTATGCCTTCTGTCCAATATTTCAACTAGCGCACAATCGCTGTCGCTAAGTTGGGGGTGGGGGAAGAAGCAAGAGAAAATGAAGCACTATTTTCAGTGAGGCAGAACTGGAATCCTCTTCAGAAGCATCCTCTTCTGGTCCAGGGCTTTGGGCAGGGCCACACCCACAGGCAAGCCAGCAGTTTCTCATTATGGTTTTCCCCATCTCCTTGCCCCTCACCCTCCAGATTCAGAGGGCGGAGAACAGCAGGACCATCCCCTAGACACAGCGGGTTTCACCGTGATCTTCCCACAGGCCACCGGCCCAGGGCCCCCGGCTGGGCGGTACTGGCAAGCAGGTCGGGGCGGTAAGTGTCCAGTCTTCCTGGGATGGGGGGCGAGGGCAGGGGAGCTGTACCCACCCCCAGGGACCGGCTCCCGGGTGAGGCCAGGCGGAGGACCTGGGCAAGCTGCTGCTGGGGAAGATGAGGCCGGGAGGGCAGAACGGAAGCAGGGCGGTGTCCCACGCTGAGCCTCCGCGGGGTTTCTGATGGAAACCGCGCCCCGCCACCGGGTGTCCCCGCGGAGAAGAGCGGGGGAGACCCGCGCGCGCCAACGAGGAACAAAAGAAAAGATGCGGCTGGGTGGGGAGGGGAAAGAGGCCTGCCACGAGAGGGCGGGTGGGCCCGACGCAGGGTGACCCGAGGCGGGGTGGGGCGAATGGGCGAAGGGGAGAGGGCGGTGGCGGGGGTGGGGGGGTCCCCCGAAAGAAATGCTGCGGGGGGAGGGGAAGGAGGGCGCGCGTGGAGGACGCGCCGCCGGGCCGGGCCGGGCGCGGCGGGGGAAGGAGCGGCAGGTTCGGGGACCACGCGGCGGGTCATTCGCGCGGAACCCGGCGGCGGGAGGCGCGCGAGCTCTGCGCTCCGGTCCGATCGTCTGCACCGGGCCGCCGCGCGCGCCGGCTGCACCCGGGGACCGCAGCGCGGAGGGGAGATGGGAGGGGTTAGGGAATCGGGAGGGGGACGATGCTCGGCTACCCCCCCCCCACCAAGCACCCCCAAATCCCAGCACGCCAATAAGGAGCCGGGGACAAAACGGCCACACACGTGCCACGTTGTTGGCGTGACAGGTGCCGCCGGGTCGGAAGAGTGCCTCACCTATTTCCTTCATGTACTCGTCAAAGCCTTGGCTGTCCACCAGTCGCCATCTTCCTTCTAATTGCTTAAGCGTGGCCATGGTGGGCGCGCGGGAGGGCGGGCGTGCGCGGTGAGCGGAGAAGGTCGGGTGCGGACAGCGTGCCGTGCGGCTGCCGGACGCCGCCGCGCTTTTATACAGCTGCGGGGTCGGGCGGCTCCGGACAGCCAATGAGAGGCGGGCTTCGCCCAGCCTCCGGCACGCCCCCTGCCCCTCCCTCCGCGCGTTCCCTTTAGGCTTTTCTCTCTCGGGGTCTGGAGGTGCGAACCGGCTGCACCTGCCTGGGATGCTGAGCACTCTAGGCACCTTGTGCAAGCTGGGACTAGCCAGGCGCACCCCACGCACCCCACGCCGGAGCCTGCCAGGATCCCGACGTTGCTCACGCCCAGGAAGCCAGAGGGGACGACCTTGCGCCTCCCCCTCCGGGTTGGACCACCTAGTTGCCGCTTGTTTTCCTGGCCAGATACCCAGAGGGTCTTAGCCCTGGCCTGGTGCAGTGGACTGGAATAGACTGAGAGGCCGTGTGCTGGATTGGCTGATGAGCTGCTTTGCCCCTGAACCTTGTGCCCTTTTCCATCCGACAGCTCTACCTTAAAGAATCTATCCTCCCCACCCTCTGCCCGCCTTGGGACCTCCAGAAGGAGGTATCCCTGCGTGGAGCCACATGAAAGCTGCTGGTTGAAATAGGAGATGGCTTGGGAATGTCTATTTCTCAACTCAAAACTGTAGGAAATTTCAGCTTAAGTAACTTTTGTTGCCATTCTACAATGTCTTATTAGCTTATATGCCTCTGTAAAGGAGCAAAAAATACTTTTATGGGTTTTTTTTAATCAAAAAAGATCCTTACAGTTCTTTGCTAGATTATGAATTAACATAAAACACAGCAGCAGAAAATCCGTATTTATTAATAGCATTTATTTGCTTGAAAATCATAGTAGTCTCAAAATATAAGGCTCTCAGAAGGACCCGAAAATGTCTAAGCCAGAAGAGTAGACAGCATACTGTGATACAGAAAACGGGGACCGGGACTTCCCAGGGATAGGTGAGAGGAGGAATTGGATAGTGGATAAAGGTGGTTTTATTAAGCAGAGAAGAAAATCTGAGAATAAAAGTTGTAGTTGTTAGGGAAATCAATACCCCCTTATCGTTTCACTTTGGGTACAGTATTTAATAGAGATGTTTGAAGCTTTTTATGAATCTACCCATCCAATTATGTGCTAACCATGTTCAAGCTACTAACTTCAGCAGGTTAGGTGTATACTTTTTAAAAAATTTATTTTATATTTGTTCAGAAGCAACCCCATCCTAAATAGAGGAGAATTTGTACTTTAGCAATGTAGATTTCCTTTATAGCTGATGTGAAAAAAATTGTTTTGGTGAGTCCTGGACTTGAACTCAGGGCCTGGACAGCATTCTTAAGCTTCTTTTCCACATCCAGCTTTTTCCAAGTAGTTTTTTGGAGATAAGAGTCTCATAGCCTTTCCTGCCTGGGCTGGGTTTGGACTTCGATCTTCAGATTTCAATCTCCTGAGTAGCTAGGATTACAGGTGTGAGCCACTGGCACTGGCCTGATACACATTTTCTTTTACCAAACAAAAAAACAGCTTTAATAAAACTACAAAGCTTGAGGGGAGGATTGAATTGGGGAGAGATGGAGGAGAATGATGAAAGGGATGACATTGGCGGAGATGCACAGGCCTCACACTGGCATGTTGAATTGAAACTCGGTAGTACAACCGAAAAATAATAATAATAGAAGAAGAGCATTGTGTCTGCAGGTTCTCAGGATAACTAGCTCAAAATATGCCAAGGGAGTATGTACTAGGATGGTACATTTTTGCCTATAGTTATGGTGATGATTAAGCCTTGAGCCCTTGAGAGATTGTCAATGGATTCCAACCAGTTTCTTCTCCCTGAAGTAGTTTACAGTATGTAAGAAAGATTATACTTTTCCAAGTCTGTGTCTTACTCTGTGTTCCCAGGACTCTATTGGAGGAGAGATGGGGTGAGATGAAGTGCTACACAACCAGCTATTGTCATGGAGATAATGGCAAATAATAGTGTTGGATGATGAGAGCTTCCTAGCATTTATATTTATTAACCCTAATCCCCACTGAATTTTTGCTTGGAGCATTATCTCAGTTTTTCAGGAGAGGAAATGAAGCAAGGAAAGTTTTACTCAGTGGTAAAACCAGAATTTCCATCCCCAGGCTCTTCTCACTCAAGACCTTGTGAAATAAAACCACACCTGAGAAGAGGCCACAGTCACCAAGTCAAGTCACTAGTTCTTGTATCATCCTTAACATGATTAAAATCGGAGGTTGACTTGCCATCTCCCCTGCATTGCATTACTTCTCTTATCACAAATCCCTGCCCTCATCGTAACCACTCCAGTCTTCCTTTTGTGGTACCATTTACAAACTTAGAAACTCAGGCCATGCGATTGTACTGGTAAGGACTTACGTGTCCAGCACCTGCTGCTCAGAAAACATTCATGTTCTATAGAAGCTGAGTGTTATCACTGACTCAATAATGCTGGTGTTGCTTCCAGACCCAGAGCAGCTTCCAGGAAGGCAGCTCATGTACTGTCTCAGAATGTGTCCTTGAGCTTTCTACACATTGACAGCTTGGGTAAAATTTAGGTTGGGATAATCAAGCAGGTCTCATGTCACAGAAATTAGAGAGGGGGCAGTACTTTTTAACTCCAAGGTGTTCCCCAAAACTTAATTTTTAAGTTTGATGTGATGAGGAGAAATAGCCCTGTTGAAGTTAATTACATCTTCCCATAGTATCTCCCACAGAAGAAAAGCTAACATGTTGATTGTTCTAACATTAGTACAATACATATAACGCTTTATCCTCAGATTCTTCAAATGACCTTACCAGCTAGGCTGGTGGCTTTAATAATGTGAATATCTGTTTTCTGAAATGGGCCTAAGTCTATTTGAAGAAGCCACCAAGAAATCCATCTCAAAATCTTTAGAATCTCGTTTCATTGTAACCATAAAAAAACAGATTTAATTCTGAAAATCTATATTCTTTGTAAATTACAGGGCCATTGCTATATGACTATCTAACTCTATACCACATATCCAACTGTTCACCCAAGTCAAACTGGTGAGAGAATTACTCAACTGTCCACTTCAATGTCTGATTTGCACTGTCAACCTTCTTTGCCAACTGGATCTAACATTGATTCAATAGAAAGTAAATAATATGACATGCACTGTACTTGCCATGTGACACTAACATCCTTACTCTCAGATTAATTTTAAGTTTTTCCTTCACCTGTGGTAACACTGTTGCTAAGGAACAGTACATGCTTAACCATGATTGACCAGGAGAAGCACCTATGATAGTTTAATCTTCATCTTTGCTGCTTGACTAAAAGTTCTTGCTGTCTTTTATGGTGGGCTACTTTTTTATTATTATTGTATGAATCTGTTTCATCTAGGATCTCAAATTGGTACAATTCATAAAATGGATCTCCTTCTCTCCTACTATTTACTACCTGCAAAGTAACAGTTGAGATGTATTGTTTCAGAAGCTCCCATCAGTCATGGTGAGGAAGGTAGAGTTGAGCAGAGCACTTTCATCAGGAAGCAGGGAGTGAGGGATGAATATGCCTGTGCTCCATTACTCTTATTTTTATAAAAGGAAGAGGCTCTGAATATTAGAGAACATTAAAGAACATTAAAAATAGCCTATGATTCAAGCTCTGAAAAGCTTTAGGTGTTCCCTTCATGGGCTAGCTAAAAACCCCATAGCAGTTGACTTACATGGAACCCCAAATGAGGTGTAAACCTCAAAAATGTTATGAAAATAAATCTGGCTAAAGTCTTCTGTGACTTTATGAAGATTATTGATTACCCTAGAAACCATTGTAAAAATAAAGGAGAATCAGTTCATTGTAATTAATTACAATGCAATAGTAAATTTAAAAAACAAGAATATTATACTGTCCCATTCTTACAAATATTACTAATTAACTCTTAGCAATAGTACATAGGTAAGATAGATCTCTTATTCTGTCTTCCTTCACACTAGAAGATAATAACTATATATATATGTATATATATATGTATATATATTCTTTTGGGGGGGGTCTGGTCATGGGGCCTGAACTCTGGGCCTGGGCGCTGTCCCTCAGCTCTTCAGCTCAAGGCTAGCGCTCTACCACTTGAGCCACAGTCCCACTTCTGGCTTTTTTTCTTTTTGCTTATGTGATGCTGAGGAATCGAACCCAGGGCCTCAGGCATGCAAGGCAAGCACTCTACCACTGAGCTACCTTCCCAGCCCCAATAACAATATTTTTGTGAATAAAACTCACTGAAGAATCTAGAAGCTTTCTTTTATAAAGCAGATGCAGTCACCTAATTGCTGAGCCTCAGTTTTAACATATGTGAAATTGGATGACAGCCGACTATGATTTCCTTAATTCCATTCAATTTAGGAAATATTCTAGCAGTATCAGAGCTCAGGAAAAAAAAAAAAAAAAGTACTCAAAACCACTCTGTTTCCACCTAGTGGTAAGAGTGTAATATTTCTTTTAGATTTATTTTAGTTGCTTCTCATTTTTGCATACCTCAATTATGCACATAGCATTGGGGCATAGTATATAATTTTCCTTAGCAACAACCTCCCAGGTAAATTTATATAGGTAGATGTGCCTTTCATAAAGATGACCATAATATATGATGATTCCTCAGGACAGCAAGCAGCTGGTAGACAAAGAAAGGGGGCAGGGAAGGAATGCTGTGTTAGGTATATTACTGCAGAAAATACCAGAAAATGTGTATTAGATTATTAAGTCTTCTCTAAGCATCTGGCCAGTTTAATAAAAAAAATGGAAGTAAAAGTATAAGAAAGAAAAGGCATTGAGATCACTCTAACTTGGCACTTCTCTATTAGCGTACTATAAAGTCTGCACTCCTTTGGTGTACAAAAAATAAAATAAAATCACCCACTGACCTTGTTGACTACACATTTGGATTTAGTAGGTCCAGAGTTGGGTCCGAGATCATCCATAGTTCACAAACTCCCAGGTCACACCCAGTGTTCCCCATCTACAAGCTCTGCGTGTGCTGGATCTACTAACTGCAGATCAGAAATATTT